CCTGACGTGGGGCTCGAACTCACGGACCGCGAGATCATGACCTGGCTGAAGTCGGACGCTTAACCGACTGCGCCACCCAGGCGCCCCATAACTTTTGAAACTCTTAGTAATTAGGCATAAATGAAAACTTACTTAATATGGTAAGAATATATTTAGTGAAGATCGCCTTGGATCACTGCCCTAAAACCGAGCCCGAAACAAACTGTCCTAGCTAACCTTAATAGCCAGGACTGTGGAGACGGTGGTCAATGGAAAATAAGAGATAAGTACAAACATTGGTAAGAGACGTCTGCTCCCTTTGAACAGATGAAGAGAGAGTATTTGCCTACAACAACCAAACAAGTCAACTGAAAAACTATTAAAACGGATAGAGTTTCGTATGAAGGCTCAGCTTCAGATCTAGCCTAAGCTACCAAATTAAACGTGCTTGCTCTCTCAAAGGTACTACGCAAAGCTGTTTTCTGTGGAGTAAGACCTTAAGGTTGACAAACTTGCTCTGTCTCTCCTCCCCCGTCTTAAACGTTGCAAAAGCTTCGTGTTTGCAACCGGATAACCAAAATCTTCTCAAACCAAAATTTGTCCTGAAGAGTCGAGTTGTACCTCCCCTCAAAAACACGTTATCTCCTGCCTCCAGCTACCGCAGTTACTAATGGATAAGCATGTCAACCAGTCCAACATAATTCTTCCGATAGAGGGCAAGGAAGAGCACCTTCGCAGTAATTTTTTTTTTTCCCCAAGCCTTATACTGCTTATTATATAAACTTACGTGCTGAAAACTGCAGCTCGCTCAAAATAAAAATGAGATATGCAGGGTCAAACTTCCTTTAAAAAAAGGGGGGGGGGGACCTAAAACTCATTTCATTTCAAACACATTTGGGAAGGAGGTCGTTGCTGTTGCACTCCTGGCAGGCTCCGCATCACCGGGCCACCCCTAAGCATCCAAACGGTCCCCCAGGGCTCACAGGTGCACCGCGCTGTGGCACCGCCGGCTGACCCGGGAGAAGCACGGCCAGCGCCTTCCCCGGTCACCCCAGGCCAATAGGGGGATCGGAGCTCTGTGGACGCGGAGGATGGCCAAGGGTTACCCGGTCCCCGACATACACGCATCCCCCGGACAGCACCAGGAGAAAGGTGCGGGAGGCTCCGGGGGCCGGGAGAGCCCCGGCCGGGCGTGCCCACGCCCCTGTCCCACCGCGGCGAGGGTTGGGGGCGCCTCTCAGGGCCGCAGTCCTCTGGGGTCACCTGGCCCTCTGTCCTGGGCTCCTACGCCAACCCCTGGGGCCCGGAAGGGAGGGGGGCGGCCCCCTGCCGCTGCCACCTGCGGCACCGGTCCCGCAGTTCCCGGGCTTGGTGGGCAGGACAGGGTAGGAGGTCCGTCCCGGGCTGGGGGCGGGACCCGCCGGGCGGTGGGGGACCGGGGCCACCGCAGCGACAACGGCAACAGCGCGTCTTCCGTCTCGGACGGACAGTCCTGCGCCCCGCTGCCTGGACCCTCGGACCCCAGGGTTCGCCCGCCCGACCCGGGAAGACGACGCAGCTGAGGCGCAAAAGAGCCGGCGACCAGCGCGGCGCCTACTCACCGGCTCCGCTCGCTCCCGCCGCGCCGCCGCAGCCCGCAGCCGCCGCGGCTCCCCGAGCTCACGGATGCTCAGCGAAAGGTCCCTGGGATCCTACCCGCGCCTCCCGCAGGCGCCTCCAGGGGGCGGGCGAGAGCCGGCGCGAGGCATCCTGGGAGATGTAGTCCTGCGGCCGCTGCACATTCACCCTCGCAGCTCTCCATCCACGAACTGGTGGTGGTCCTTTCTTCCCTCGTGCTTCCTCTCTGTCTCCCTCAGGGGCTCACCTCCGCTTCTAGCTAATAAGTGTGGGAACGCTCCAGTCGAGCCCTGGGCCTCCTCTCCTCGCTCTAGATCAGTGGTTCTCAAAATGTGGTGGTACCTGCACCAGCAGCTTCAGCATCGTCTGGGAACTTGGTAAAAATGACAATTCTCCATCACAGGGAGGCTATTCAGTTTTTCCTGTATTAAAATCTGGGGGTGTGGCCCAGAAATCTGCATTTTGAAAACCCTTCGAGTGATCATAATTGCTCTCCACAGCCTTGCCAAGGTACTTGCCCCTCTATCGCCCCCTTGCCAAGGTACTTAACATTACACTTGTGGCATTAGTTACCCACACACATACACCCGTATATCCTTTCGTACACTGGGGGAGACCCAGACAGTTTATGTCCCAACCCAGACTTCTCCTCTGACCCCAGACCTCTCCTCTGACCCCAGCCCTCATTGTTTCAATGTCCACCCAACATCTCCTCCAGGATGCCTCTGAGACACCTGAAATCCACCGGATCACGACAAAATTCATGATCTTTACTTCCCTCCATCTAGTTCTCCTGCATTGTGCCTATGGCCACAGGCTAAAAACTGCCCACTGCAGTTATAGACATGGAAGGCACTTGAAACCGTAGTGAAAGCTACAGGGGTGGAATGCCAAGAACCCTGAGTCATAGTTGAAGGAGAGAGGAGGGAGGAATAGAGGAGGCAGGATGAATAACCA